AGCAAGTCATTTATATTAAACATGTAATATTTACTTTTGAATACTTCAGTACAAAGGATGTATTGATTAATTTAAGTGATACATGTGTACACATAGGCCTATACACATCAAAACAGGGCTACATTTGATTTAATTAAAAGGTATAATATGTGGTAAACTGAACCAAATGATCCGGCTCACCAAGAAGAGCTGGAATTCCCATCACTAGCCAGGGCTGAACTAGTGACGTCAACACTCTCGACTGCTGATTGGTCAGAGAGAATCGTCACAAGATTGCGCGCGAGATCATCCCTAGCGTCGAATATATCTAGATTCTAGAAGCAAGCTTGCAGCATTTTTATACACAGCATTTTTGTAAACGGAGGAGCTACAAAAATGGCAAAGAAACGTCAAAGAAAAGCACACCGTGGTCGACCGAGGAGGTGACGACGTTCCTACATCTCATTGGGGATGATGAAATCCAGCGGGAGCTCGACGGAACAACTCGAAATGTGAAAGTGTTCCAGGATGTCTCTGCACAGATGTCCCCGCCTACACTGCGTTGCTACCCCAGGTCCTAAACTGTAATGGAAATGCGCCACGGCCTCGGACGGCCAGCGAGGCAGCCCGAGGCCTGAGCGAGGACGCTTAAACGGGGCTACCCCGCTGCAGTGGAAATGTGCCATTAGTGTCTTACTTTCCCTTATCAAGTACTTAAAATAAGCCTATTTCAGGTAAGCAGTGTTTTTTCTGCCTCGTTCAAATAAACTGATCTATGAAAATATCTCTTTGCAGTTTGCTAAAACAATATTTGACTGTATTTTGTCATTATTTGCTATTTGTAGACAGAAATAGATGCGACAAAGACCTCAGACATCAGATTGATGTGACAATTAGTTAATTAATTTACATTGCAGTGCATTGACCTCTATAATATTTGCTGCCATGTTGTAAAAGGTCTGTTGCAAATGGCATATTTAAATAAACTCATCAAAGCATCTGACAACCACGTTCCCATGCCCATAGTAACTGAACCTTGATCAAGTAGTTTAGCCAGCCTTACCTTTAACCAAAACATACTTGAGGAAGTAGTTGGTCAAGTGATTTAAAGTGTAGAATATTCACTACCATATAGACATGTAAACTTGTATAGAATGGAGTATGTTATATTGAGTGTAATAGCAGCAGTTTGCCTGAAGTAGCTTCTAGGATTTAGGCCTTCAATGACATCATTTCCAAATATAAAGACAAATATTATCTAAAAATTACAATAGAGTTAGCAGGACTGTGAGTTTACAGTTTGTGCCTCCTTATTGTTACCACTCACAGTGGTTATCACCATCGACTATGTACATGAAATATTTGAGCGGTGTGTAGAAAATGATGACTTATCATAATGAATCATCTCAGTTTAATTATCTTTGTCATTTGCTCTGTAGGTGTGGTGATGTGTTTTCAGAGAAAGACAGACATCGAAAGGATTATTCTTTCACTTCTGCAGGTTGAGAAATCGTCTTTTGATTTAGGCTCATAACCCTTTTATAATCCATAAGATTATCTCAGTATTGCATCATCATCTCTCTTGAATCTGGAAGAGTTTAAACTAAATGGCAAATATATTATACTGTAAAACTACAAATGATAACAAATTAAAATATATGGTGTTGCCCAGAATATTGAGATTCGTCTTTGCTTTAGACTTGATTAAAACAAAGCGATGGCCATGTTCGTATACTTGTGTGGTTTGACAAAAAAAACTACTGCTCCTTTTGTACTTGAAAATGGCTGATGGACCTCTTTTTACAGCACTAGAAATGGCATGGTTTTCCCACTTTGTCCCGAGGTAGTAAGGTTTGACAAAGAAAAGTCAACCACCAAGTTCCCACGGCGATAATCGCTACCTATCAAGGCCATTAGGTCACGTAGCATGTCCAGCCATGGGGAACACCTCTTTATCTAACGACCTATAGAGTGGAATACAATAGAAAATAACTGAGATGGCAAAAAAAGGTTTAAGGTAATTACACTCCATTATCCATCAGACATTTCGTGGACTAAGAGATAATGTGCACGTGTACAACAACGACGTGATCGGGACTACCATACCCTCTGTTTTACTTAATGGAGGTGCCCATTATCGGCAAATGAAAGGCAGATTTACGCCAACACTTTCTACGTTATTGCGCAGACAATGTCTCATTATGGGGATCGTGTTTGATAAATGGTCTGATGTCGCCTCTCCGCACTTGTCTGCGGACACGTTTTTCTCGCCGTGTCTTTGTGTCTGTTATTCGTCCTCTCTGTCCTTGGGTTGACGTTGATGTTACGTCGTAATGTTTTCCAGTGGAACTGTACACCGGCAGAAACTTATCGGGCCTCTCTTGTGTCTCAGCTGTGACAGATATCACTGAGTTGGAACGAGGGCGGTTGAATTGACTAGAGTTAGAGGGCAAGAGGAAGAAGAGGCAAAAAGACAGATGGATTTAAGTTTACAGCCAGAGAAATACCACTGCAACAACCGCCGGAGATCCCACAATATATCAGGGTGACAGTGCAATGTCCTAATTTACAACCACCATGAATGCATACGCTATACGCATACAAATGTAACTCTGGTGACACAATAGAAATGTTTCCTTTCCTTTTGTTCATTAGAAATAGATGCCACAGGTTGGCTTACTCATTCATTCAAATGCTCTACTCTAAGTCCCCACTGAAATAACTTTAAGTAAAATTACAAATTGTAAGAGTTAGACATAAAGCCGGAGTTTGTTTGTCTGAATTTAACTCATCATCAATGGTGCCTTTCGATTAAGTCCGGTTTTACAAAGATGTTTTAAGGTACATTGAAAGACTTAAAGTGTTCAAGACCATTTTTGCTTTAATCAATTTAGATTTGTAGGTCTGCCCTCATTACAAAATAGTGAAAAACTGTAGAATTGCTGAAAACAGAAGGAGATATTTTTCATGAGGAGACAAAGACACTCTGCAACTATTTTAAACTAGAAGCCAACCACAAAGCAATTCTGGCTACAAAACAACCCCCACAGAATCTAAGGCGACTTAAGGAGAACATGGGGCAACCTGAGTTACGAAAATATGTGTGTCAGAGTAGAGATGTTTTTGAGTCTGGTATTTTCTCTTACCTCATCAACATCATTAAAGGTGGATGTAAATGAACTCCTTCTGTTCACAACACCTTCAATTATAACTTACAAACCAACTAAAATAAAGCAATTGCCATTTCCTCACACAAAAACAAGTGTATGTGGTGTAACAACAACACTTGCAACATGTAATCTATTTGTCAAACAAATACAGAGGATTTTACCAATTACTGTTTAAATCAGCGAACAAATTGACTCAATTACGCATGAGCTAAGCTCTGGTAGAGAAAATATCTTATCTTATCTTTACAGATGCTAGGCCTATGTACGATCATTTAAAAGAGCTGTTTAATGTAAGGCTAAATTATAAATGACCTTTTCACTTGTCGAAACAAGTCTCTATAGTTTCCTGCCTTTAGGGAAAGTTTGTTAACTATGTGCAGAGATAAGTAAACCTTGAAAAGCCATGTCTGAAAGGAAAAGCTGGACCCTTACGTAAATAGGCTCCTTAAAAACTATGCTTAATCGTAATAGTCTGTAGGATTGCCAGACAACTGGGTTTTGTGACTTTCTAACAGAGCCAAGCTAGCTGTTTACCCTAGGCTATTCTGTCTTTGTGCTAAACTAAGCTAAGCCAAGCTAGGCCATTGTCAAAAAAAGCTAATTTCATGTGAAACTATTACATTAATGAAGGCTGTGTCAGTGAGTCCGACAGTCGGAGGCCACAGTGAAGGCTGGAATTCCAAACTCTGGGAATATTAAACATTTTAAACACCTCCATATGTGAGTTTGTACGTATACTGTATGTGAAAGCCTTTCCTTATACTTTACCTCTGGAAGAGGGTTAACAAAACAGATAAGCAACTCTTCAGTGGACCCAGCATGCAAACCAAACCACAGACACACACACTTACATCTATATATATTTATGGATCCAAGTTTGCTGGGTTTTAAGTTGAATTCAATAACACTATAAAAGTGCTGAGAGGTTCAATTTCCTCTCTTGTTTGGCTACATCTTCATTACTCTGTGGTTGGATTGTGTGGATTCTCTCCAAAGTTTTAAACACACACTCACTCATTTGTGCCTCGTCACAAAGACCCGGACTCGCTGGTGTGTGATTTGTTCTGGCAACATAAAGCCAGCGATTGGTTACTGGCAAGTTCAACTGGCACATTGTGGTTGCCTTGCAGATTTGTCTTTCCTTCCCAAGAGTTGGTCTTTGGGGTACGAAATGCTGCACTCTCTTTTCTTAAAGCTTATTTTTAAGACCGTGTAATTAAACAGTACACAGTTGGAAGTGAGAGGGTAGTTGGAGAAGACAGGGGGAAAGGGTCATGAACTCAGGCCCTGCAGAGTTACTGCTGTCTGCTTTTGTCCTTACAAAATCTCATGGAATGTGACTGAGAAACCAGGTACAAACCACGCTTCACATACAGTGTGTCAGTTTTACTTAGAAGCAGAAGTGGAAGATTTCACCCCATTTACTTAGGTTATACATGCAGTTTCAATTGTATGCTCCATTGAACAAAAAAGCCACACATTTAAATAAAAGTTAAACTAAGAGCTACTACAACCGTACAGTTGACTTGTCCCTCTATGTTTTAGTTGGTCAATTAGAATGTATGTTGGGAAGTTTAATCATTAAAACAATGCATTATATTTTATCAACTGGATAATGTTTATTTGTAAAATGTTAATCTTGAAAGTGACTAATTTAGATGTTTATTAAATCGGATGGAGTAAAAGTTACAGTCGTTCTTTGTGAAATGAGTGGAGCATAAATTAAAAGAAGCATAACATAAATGTATCATTGTCAGAAAATGTATTAGCAACTATTTGGATATGGATTCATAATTTGTATTTTTTTTTAAAGCAAAACATTTGGAACATTATTTGGCTCTCTTACTTTTCGATTTTAAGGATAGGCTGTTTCTCTTTGTTATGTGTCAGAACAAATAAGGAAGGGATCAAATATGCATCACCTTTGTAACTTCAGGCACAAAAGACCTGGAGCGTCCGGGAGGTGACTCTTTATTTTTTCTCCTGGCGAACACTTCCTCCTCAGAAGGACAATGCCTAGGGTTCACTTTAGATACTGTTATCCATCTTATCCTGCTTTATTATTAACTAAATAACTTATATCATGCTTGGGTGTGTGTATGTGTATGCTAACTGTAAGACTATTTGAGTGTTAGCATGCTCGTGCTAATGTCTTTTCGTGTACAGGTTCCCCTGTAATCATCCATTCCTCCACCAATCTGCCTGAGAGCCCTGAGCCAGCTTGGGTCAGGCTCTGCGGTCGGTGCATGGGAAAATTCTTTGGCACAGAGTTTCCTGGCTGACATTGGGGAGGCAGGCAAGCTGCTGTGGCACGGGGATGGCGGACGTCTGGAGGCATTCCCAACCACTCAGTTGGACAGACGGACGGACAGATGAAAGGGTTAATTTATTTGACTTCCACATGCACATAAGCTCAAATAGAGTTTAATCATTTTGTTGGGTTTTAACCAAAATGGCAAAGTGTAAAGTAAATACTCGGGGTGAACACTGTAAGCTTGGGTTCAATTTGGCCCAGGATACATCCACGACTGCTATTCAATGTCATGGCATTGTATGTTGTGTGTGTGTGTGTGGTATAGTTACAGATGTCCTCCTGAGTGCAGTTTCCTTTTAATCAGTCAAACATGATAAGATGGACAAACCTCAGACACACAGAGCAATATTCATGGGCATTTTAGGTCAAACCATGTTAAAATCGATTTTTGTGAAATCTGGTCCAACAAGATGGTAGCTATAAAGATGAAGTAAAGCAGGGGGTTTTGGTAAAGTGAGTTCCTGAACTTTTGGATCAAAAGTAAATGAAATATAATGTGACAAAACGCACTTTGGTCCAACCATCTTTGGATATTTTTTTCCCAAAAAAGTGGTCAGAGTAGGCTACCTGACAGGAAACAGGGTGACTGTTCAGATGACATTTTAAAAGCTTTGTGAGACATACATTGAAATCTCTGTTCACATGTGCGGTGACAAGACAGCGCAGATGAATAAACTTTGCAAATCCTGCAAAATCCTTCCTAAAACTACTTATTTGTAATAATATTATAAACGAGCCAGTGAAGCTGTACATGGCCCTCTTCTGGTGGAAGTGTGTGTGTAAAGTTGTGTGTGAAAGAAAGCCCCTTATTTAAACAGGCTTGCAGGAATTTGGTGTCAGACAATAGAAGCCCTCAGCCAAAAATGGCAGTCTCACCTTGTCTCTTGGGTAAGTGTGTGGAGCCTGTCCTTATTGCTCAGTGTACTCATTACAAAGCAGTAGCTCATGTCAAAACCACGAAAGTAATGGTGTGATATTTAATAGTGATAAAAACACTTGAGGGCAGAAAGATGCATGCTAAAATTAATACTGCGTACTAATTTTCAATTCTGTCAATCCCAATGCAAAATGCTTAAGCAATGGTTTTGTTATTTTGTTTTGCATAAAATTGGCTTGAAGTTTCTACAGAGGCATACAATAAGAACAGAAAGCAGAGTCAGGACTTTTCACTTAATTAAAAAGAGAGTAGGAGGATCATACTACCGGTGAGGTCATCACGTAACAACGACAGTGCGTCAAGCATGCTCTCACTCATTATACACCATCACACACAGTTGTTCCAATAGTTATCATAAGCTTAACTGAATTCAAATCTGTTCAGTTGCATGTAGTAGAATAGCCAGAAAAATGTGAATTATTGAATGACCAGAACCAGAAGTATCCATATATGCGTTCAATCGGTTATGAACATCAAAACAAAACCCTATATGCTTAGTTTATACTTGGAAAGCTGTATCAGATTCAGATACATAAAATACAGACTTTGCACTTTAAAAACTTTTTACATGTGTTCGTTAAAACGTTGTACTATCTTGCCATATAAACCAGGCCCTTGTCCACATGCATAGAGCCAGGGAACACAATGTGCCATAATACCCCGTAGCGCAGACAAACTCGTATGAGCATATGAATATGTCATATTACCGCCGTGCGTAAAAGTGGTGAAGACGGTGGTACAGGCTTTGTGGTGAGAAAAGCCCCACACCAGCCGGCAATGACTGACACGACTAAACTACCGGCTTGAGCAGCAATACATAGTCTTACTACGAGGAATAAGAACAAACGTACCGGTTTGGTGATTAAAACGAGTTGAAATCAGTGTTTGGAGACGGGCATTATCAGATGTCGTAGAGTTGGCAGGTGTGATTAAAGAAAGACTGGATGAAACCACAAAGCCGGTAAGCGAGGTTCCCCCTTCTCTCTGGCTCCTCTCTTTCTCTCTGTAAAAAAAGAAGACATAAAAACTGAGAGGGCTGGGTGAGCTCACAGTGCGTCACCGCTGCAAGCTGAAACTCCGGTGTGTGTGTGCGTGTGTGTGTGTGAAACCCCCTCTTGGTCATTGTCTTTCCCAGCAGATATTGCAGCTCACAACCTGAAGGGTGTCCTTATGTGGAGCCCCAATGTGTTCACAATTGAAACAAATAAATAAAATAGATAGATTTACATATGATACATTTACTAAAAAATGAAATAATAATACGAAAGAAAATATGCAAAACATAGTAAACACATTCACAGTTTTATTCACTAAAACCTTTCAACTCAAAGTAACATCCTGCTAATTGTATTGTTTGTCAGTTTAAAAGTACTTCTAAATGTCTCTTTTCCAAACACATATCCGTCTGAAAAATACACTTACCTCCATTTTGAAAGAATTTCCAAAACCTCAAAAGAGTCTTCCAACTAACTGGATGATAATATTCCCTCCTCTGCACTGTAACACAAGTTTTACCTGTTATACATCTTTTTAGTTTATTAGATGTTTGCAGTATCAATGTGAAGTTCTCCAACACTTGTGATTTGATTGCACAAGTAACTTTACTGTGTACCTTGTCATTTAGTAAGGCACAGGGGTTAATACTTACATTAAAGATGGCTCTGTTCTGTTCACGTTCAGCCTGAATAGTGGTTTTATTTACACCTTTGCTCCTTCTACAGTGACATGCCGAAAGGTCTTCTGTGAACAATTTTCATTAATTTACACTGAAAGTATTCACTCCCCTATTATACAGCATTAAGCCAATTGTACTCCTGAGGAAAAAGTTATTTTTGGCTGTTAACTTGTACAGTATGGTATAATAATAATAATAATAAATTATATTTATATAACGCTTTTCTCAAACTCAAAGACGCTTTACAGTCGGGGGGAGGGTAGACAAACAAGGACAGGCAAAAACAAACAAAAACAACAACAACAACATATGTCCCCTATAATATGCATTATTAGTCATACTTTAGTTGTACGTCCTAATGCTTTCATAGCAAGTTATAGGATAGAAAGGATACATTTTAAAAAGGTAAAAGCTAAGATAGTTGCTATGAATGCTGAATGTGGACGAAGACTCTTTAACATAATATTACATTTGTTTCTAATGGTTAGGTTTGAAATGGTGTCTTTGGGATGCTCTCTAAATGAATGTAGTTCAATTCAAGTTGTAAAAAAGACATTTAATTGACTGAGGGTCAGTCACAATACTGCATGTGTAGCTCCTAAAAACAGACAAAATGTATCAACCTTCCCTGAGTAAAAAAAAAAGTTGGATTCTTATTTTTAGCAAGCAGCCTGAGGACAAAAACAGCATTGTGTAAGATTAAATCAAAATGGCTTTTCTCATTACACAAACAATTAAACAAAATCTGATCGCAGTAAATTAAGGAAATTTCCACTGTCCCACATTCTTCCGCCGGGCTGAATCAGTGCGACTCAATGACTCACATATCAGTCGGTCATTCTGGTCAGACAGATGAATCTCTGTGCTGCTGTCTTTACTGCTTTCATTCATCACACAGATCTTCACTGTGCAATGCATCATTTGAATACTGTGTGTGGATGCAACTTTGTGTCTGTCCATGAGGGGGGAGCAACATTGGTACTTGTGTGTGTCCTAAATGGGCTGCATTCATTCAGCTTTCCTCTATATACTACAGGGCTATCATATCACAATACACGTCATTGTGGGTCAGTGGGTTAAAGTAAGATGAATAGTTGAGTGACACTGAAGAAGGCGAGTAAAACAAAACAGTGGCAACTTTGTGTTTAGGTCAGGGCTAAGAGGAGGGCATCATGAGATTTAAGTCAGTTTTATTTCTCTTTATTTGTATTACTGAGATGTGTCTTGTAAAAAAAAGGCAAATTGTTTCTAGTTTTTCTTTCCAAGTTTTGATTGTGTAAGTTACTCATTGCATTATTTCCATTAGCAAATGATTACTTTTCTATTAGTTATTTCTCAGACTCAACAGTGACATCCTCAAATAGCTTGTTTTGTTTGACCAATGGTTTCTTATCAGTTTCAGATACCAACAATTACACAATGAAAAAGGTACCTTCCCTATAGAGCCTTTGCTCTTCTTCCGAGTGACGCTAATCCTAGATCGATGTAGGTAGTCGGGTAACGCCTTTTATTTGGCAAGAAGTAGCGAAGCCCGAAAGAATCAACTATCGACTCTGTTTGCAGTTCATAGTTTGTCAGACGTCACATCCAACCACATTTTATTTCTTTATTCTTTAAATTATTACAACTATGATAACTCAAATAAAAATAAACTGTAATAAAATGAAATACATTTGCATTTTAAATTAAGAGATTAATACATTTTAAGAGACTTAAACCTCATATTGCTGAAGACCACCAACCAAATTGAATTTCGAAAATATTTAGATGATCAACAACTATTTTCACACCCTTCTAAAGTAAGTAATAATTAATCGTTGTATTATAATCAATAACATTTTGGTTTTAATTACAAATAAATAAATAAGGAGACCCACCGCTCATTAGGAATAAGAAAGAACAGGCACAAACCGGCACGAGTGAACTGATTTAATTACAAAGAGGAACCCAGAGTGACAGACCGATAACAGCTACATACAGTAAGTAACTCTGATACACTGTAACCATGACAAATGCATCCCAGCCAGAGATAAACAGAGTTTAGACCAGGTAGATTTCCTTCCTGTAGATATTCGTAACAAGGCAGACATACTGTATGTTTCGGTGATAACATGACTACCAGTGAAAACATCAATGCCAATTTTTTTCAGATGCTATCTTGTCTTCTCTTGGAAAGATCTGACAGTTATAATTTAAACATCACTGACAACGCAAGCCAAAGAGGAGGGGGGAAAAATACAAACAAACCTTACACAAATATATAAAAATATGCCATTAGATTCATATCAACAATTGAGGACCGTGGGTGCAATATTTACAGAAAAAAAGGCAATATATACCGATATTTACAACAATAAAGACTTCTTTAACATGTGGGGAATAGAGGTTACTTAGCTGAGAGTTACAGTGATGATAGGATGAGTTTGATGTGAATGTGAATTAAGTGTGAATCCTCTGTTTCTTACACAATATGCTTAATTCGACTAATCCTTTTCAAATTAGACCAGGATGCATGCTTCTGTAAAATCTTAAGTCTTAAGTCAATACAATGGGCTGCAACTAGTGAAAATAAGAATATTATTTCTTCTTTCTGAATCAGGTGAATCAAAAGTAATGGACTTCAACCACGGTAGAGGTTTCCACCAAGAACATTAAGCAATTACTTATTAGGTAGGATCACAGTTAAAAAAAACATGCTGCTCGAAAAGCGCTGGTATCAGCAGGGAAAGCATATCAATGTTTCTTCACAGAAAATAAAGAACTAACTCCATTTCTCAGGGAGGTCTCCATTTCCCTACAGCCAGTACAGATAAACAGCATTTTAATGGGTCACTTTGCAGCTCTTGGCTCTGGAGACTCAAAAATAGATGTTGTCAATTAGAAATAACTCACAAAAACAACATAGGCCTACATCTTGCTACGTTAGAGGATATTAGAGGAATACTTTTTTTAACGTAGGGAATTATCTTATTCACTTTTCGCTTAGAGTTAGATGAGAAGATAAATACCACTCTCAAGTTGGCTTCATTAATGTGCAACTACAGCCAGCTATGGGCTAGCTTAGCTTAGCACAGATGGAAACAGCTTGCAAGCTAGCATAAAAGATTCACCCACCTGAAACTCTAACCTGAACCTTTATGAAATAGGTAAAGAAGATATTATGTGATCTGTGAGCATTTAGGCATATTCCTTTTTTGTTTAAACTCTCCATAATAACGAAGCTAGCCGATTCACATTCCATTTTGATTGTGAGTTTTTATGCTAAATTAAGCTAACTCCGAGTCCTGGCTGTAGAGAGGCAAAGAGCTGGCTAGTTAGCTCTTTGTACAATAACAAACCAACCCTCTTCACTGTTAGCTGCTCTCACAGTAGGATAGTTAACCCAATTTGAATGCATTTGGGATGGCTAAGGAGAAATGCCCAGATGGCTGGCAAAGTGTAATGAGGTTTTTTAGGATACCACTTAAGACTCAAAGCCTGAGGTTAACTCAGTGTGTGTTGTCTAGAAGGACAATTCAGTCACCCTTCACTTCCCCAAGCATCTGCTTTAAGTAGTGTGAGGGAAAGCTGACTTTTCACTGTGTGTGTGTGTGTGTGTGTGTGTGTGTGTGTGTGTGTGTGTGTGTGTGTTTATTGGATTAACCTTTAGCCTTCTGAAGGCACTTGTAGGTGGCTCAACCTTTGTCCTTCGACCTACTCTGTATCGTTGGCACTCTATTGTCCCAAAAAACAAACCACACGCATGTTGTTCTCCAAAGATCAATGTTTCTGCATTAGGAGCATAAAAAATACATCTTATAGTTGTATTAACTGTGACTAAAATGTCACAATGGATCTTAAAAAGGTTGAATATTAGGCAAATAATTGTATTGGCTTCCAAACAGGCATGAGGGGGACTTGTTCTCTTTTTCTTCAAAATAAGTATTGAGCTGTGTTCAAAGACAATGCTTTGCAATGACAATGACAATACTCGTTCCTTTTTAGATTGTTTCTTTACATTTCTGTTTTCTTCGGAGTCATACAACTCCTAAAAAACAACCCTGTATTGCGTATCGTACCGGACAATGAGTGGACTGTCACACCCTTGCTGTGTATGTCTGTCTGCCCAAACCAACTATTCCCATCTGTCTAGTCTGCTCATCAAACCAAGGCTTTTTTGTTCTTTAACTCAAACACAAAAGGTGAAAGCTACATCTTCTATAAATTAAGTGCTGTAAAAGAATGCGCTAAAATCAAAACCATAAATACTGTACATTACTATCGTTATCTGCTACCACAGCCCAGCGTCATAGAAGTCAGTAACATCAGCTCCTGATTTCTGCTCAACAAACTTAGATTTCACTGCAAAATAAATCTCTTAAGATCCCTTAATGTCAAAACTGTAACACATACAAGGCTTTGGCATAGTCATGTTAAGGAGGAAAGTCTCCTATGCACCTTTCCTACTCAACTCCAGTAGCAGGCATCATCCATGTTTAAGTTTCTTTAAACTGACAACAAAAATGAAATATGAAAATCTGATACCATCTGATTATCTGTGGAAAACACACATTTGTTTTTTCACAAATATCTTCCAATTCAGTGAGTGAAGGCTGTGCATTAATGTGCGTGTGTATAAGTCTTGCGAAACGCTCTTTCCACATATTGCACTTTTTAGTCAATCTTTCTCTGCAGGAGAAAAGAGGTTTGTAGCAGTCTTATATCTTAAAGCAATGATCATGATGTAGATAGTATTACAACCCTTCTATGACCAGAAATCTTTATCTCTATTCTACTACCTGAACTTCATTCCTTTAAAGCTCACAGACTGAAACAGAACCTCTCTCGCAAGCATGAGCTTTAGCTGCAGAAAAAAAAACACAATTCAGAGTATCCATGAAACTACAGTCTGTGATGTTATGTTTTACTAAGTTTCCATTCATATATTTGTACATGACATTAACCTCCGGTCCTCAGGAAACATTTTGTCTGAAGTTCAGGCAAGGGTCAAGTGATGATGGAGTAAAGGGTTGACGTCAGAGTCCAAAAACAAACAGAGAAGTGATGTATAAGGACAAGTACACACTTCACTTGTATGTCCTCTTATAACTTCCTGTGCAGTGACATTCTACACAGTCCAAATCCTCTTCTGTCAAGTTTCATTTTCGGCTTCTCTGTCTTCTTCTGACTCCTTCACTAAAATAATAGTTTTTTTAATACAATTTTCAAGACAATATTCACAGAAAGAAGTCATCACATGCACAAACATCACTCAGTGAGGAATAACGCACACCATCAGAAACATTACCATAGTCTTCTTGAAGTGATCATATTCATTGGTAAGTCCAGGAGAAAGGTGACAGCCATATTGTGCACATAGAGACTGGAGGACTGAGCAGAAGACCAAAACAACAACACCAAAAAGTGAGGGTCCCGGTGGGGAAAAGGACAGGAGCGTGTGCTATAGTTCTCAGATTGAGCGAGTTTGGGGCGGGTTGTTCAAACCGGGGTTTATTGTCTCAGACCTTCCAAAGTAAAAGATGGTTGGTACTGTCATCCCGTCCAACTGTTTCACTGCTATTCGTCAGTCTGAAGTCCTCATAGCCATCACCGCCAGAAATTACTAGATGGTTTGTTTTTGTAGGGATGTGGGCTGACGCTCGACGACGCGAAGAGTCGCGCCTTTGGAGGTTTCCATCAACTGTGCTGCTGCTCTGGGATTGGTTGCCTAACAAACAGAGAGTAGGGATTAAAGGTAATGGGAAGGCACAAGTGAGGATAACACCTCAATTTCCTACTGTGGGCAATAGACAAAAGTGCACATTAAAAATGAAAAACAACAACTACCTGTGGATTCAGGAAGTGGGAAGTTCATGTCAAACCCTTCTGGTAGTTCGATTGATGTCAAGAACCGAACGTGGCCAGTGTGTCCTTGAGCCGAGCCCATCGGCACCTGGGGGGATTTCAGTGTCCCAGCCCCCGTTCCTGAGCTCACGGCTGGGATCCCCAGCGTAAGGACGACCCCTGAAGAAGAAAACCAACTTAAAAATATTTCATTTTTAATCCAATAAGTCTATTAATTTAAAACACAACATTTCTACCATTAAAGAAAACACATATATACTTTGCAGGTGAACGCACATTTACCTTGCTTCCAGACCTCTTTTATTTCAACCTAAATCTGATTTGATTTTATCATGAAGACAAAATGATCATAGATTTTGATTATCGGGTTAATTGTGTTTTGATTTCTTACTCTAAAAATGTTTTTACCTGCACTGGTGCCAATCCACAGCAGATCTTTACATGCCAGCAATGCTGTGATTCTCAGACAGGCAGCTTTGTGCTGTCTTATGATTGCATCGGCACCTGAATGAAAAGAAAGAAAATAGCTAATGGGTTAGAAGTCAGGGGAGAAACAGTGGTGAGGATGAAGGGAGTTATTCCCTATGTGTCTCTTACCTGCAAGCATCTTATGCACAGCAGGCGCCACATCCACCTCTGTCAGGCTCTCCAGCGTCTGAGCGTGGTACAGTTTGACCAGGGCACTGCCCTGCAACGCCAACCAAACACCCTGACCGTACGCCACCATGCAGGTCACACACCGACTGCTGTCTGTGCCTACCTGGAACCAGTGCTGAGAACGAGAGAAGAAATGTCACACACACTGTTGACTAACTGCTGAAATGTACTCAGTTGTACACACATCCTTCTTCCACTTACCTCTTGTACCAGTGTAGTTGTGTTTAAAATAAGGATTCTGTTCTGTGAGCCACACCAAAGCCTTCCTCCCACAGGAACCATTTTGGTGACGGGGCTTGTGGGCGTGCCCAGAACTAACGTCTGAGAAGACTGAGAGTCCCAGAAACTACCTGCAGATTTCAAATGAAAGGGGGTGTTATTCAGAAAGACTACCAAGGGAACAGAAAACATACAAATGTCATTATTTTAGTGGATTTCAAGTAAAAAGTATCTCCTTAACTTCCTCAACCAGGTGGGACATTTTTTAACCGGTAACAGACAGGGTGGACTAGCATGGTAGCATAGTATAACAGTTATTTGAGCAACATGTTGCAGAGAATAAAAGCTTCAGCAAACACATAAACTAAATAGAACGGAGCTCAAAACGACTAAACTTGATCACTTTCCAAGCTTACCGGCTTCTCTCTGATAGACTATCACCTCTCCATTGGCCAAGGACACAAACACTTTGTTGTCAAAATACCTAAAGGAAGAAAAAAAAAAGGATGCTTTCAGAATGACAAGAAAATAATCATTATTTAGGTTAGGCACACAAAAAAAAGAAAACATTTCTAAAAATATACAAAGAGTTATAACTGTGAAACATGTTCGTGGACACTTATATAGCAGGAACAAGAAAGTTGAGACAATAAGAGACAAAACTGACTAAGAAATGTCAACCCACTACTAATCCATCTTTTTAATTTGTCTAATGAAGCATGAATTCTGCTATTTAGTTTTGAAAAGTAAGGCTGGAGGTGACTCACAGTATACAGAGGATGGAGGCTGAGTGTTGCATCTTCATGCTGTTCTTACGGTTACGGATGTTGTCTGAGGACTGGTACACGTGAATGCTGACGGGAAACAGAAGCGTTATAGGAGTTTAGGTGATGAATCAGTACAACAATATGCATCATTTGTGAGTAGGGTTGGAAGTTATGTCCATGTGGGAATGAGCTGCTGGCCCATACAAGTCATTAAAGTCTCATAACTTCACTTTATCGTTCATTATTGAGTTTTAATTTAGACGGAAAGTTATGTCTATGGATGTGTGTGTCTGTGTCGCATACCATCCGTCCTCTGTGCCCAGCCACACTGAGCTCTGGTAGGCCTCCGGGTCGATGCTGAGCAGGTCCTCCAGGCTCGCCCTGGTGAACGAGCCCCGGGAGGAGCGGCGCATGGCCCGGCCGTCCATCGAGCTCTCTGTGTGGCCGCGGCCTCCGGCGCCATCACCCAACATCCCCGGGGCGCCAAAGGAGCTCGCCACAGGGAACTCCTGCTCCTCTTCACTGCTGGTGGTCTCTGTAGCCATGTCTTTGGAGCCTGGGCCCTCATCATCTTACGGGAGGACATTTGAAAATATAAGCCTATGGAGTGTATGCGGTAAGTGTGTGATACTGAAGTGTGTTCTTTACTTACTGCAATAGCTGGAGGAAATGGTGGAGTGACTGGCCTGACTCTTAAGAGTGGAGGAAGGGCTGGGTGAATCCTCATCATCAGTGTCATCACTGTCGAAAGGAACAAGCTCAGCTCCGGGACCTGGAAACAATCAGTAATACAAGTCAATATTACTCAGAGGATAACATTAGGGCAAAATAGGATTATACCATAACAGTTCACACCCCGGTTTGTTTTAAAGTATTGTTTTACATAAGCTTTGGTAATTTATTTGATATGTATTTTATCATATCGTGTTGTGTGGTTATGTGCTTTAGTAACTGTTGTCTTGGTAATGCTAGGACACTATTTGTAAAAGCCTGCCCAGGGATAGCTGAAAAAAAATAGCACATTTGCGGATTCTGGCATATTTTCATTGAGCTGGAAATGTTCATTATTATGCAATGATTCTGTTGAATAAACAAAAATGAATAGTAATAGTTGCTGCTTGTCATGTTGTTAAACCTTTATGGACCGACCTGTGGGTTGCTCCGTCAGCTCCACAGATGAATGAGCGATGGAGATATGGAGCTGTTGCTGGGGGGGACCAGGGGCTCCGGGGGCCAGGGTGGGCTCTGATCCACGCTCCCTACAAGATGAGTCATTGGTGTAGAATAGAGATTAAGTCAGAAAGAGAGTCAATTGAACCACTCAGGTGCAGGGACTTAGGTGGGTTTTTGTTACAAGAGTGTTTAATGTCTAAGTGTGTACTGACCTTCCCTTGAGTCCTGGTACAGCAGCGATACATATGATCCTCGCTGAGCAGACAGCAATACAGGCCTCCACTGTGGGCTCATCTTTGATGTTCAACAGACACACCTGAACGGAGAAAACATAATCAATCAGAGAGCGGCAACCTCTACCTATCTTGCAATCTTCATAAAAGGGACAAATATTTGTGTATCTTTCCCGTAGTTTAGATCTGCTTCAAATTATTATATGTTCTTCCTCTGCCCATGCTACAAACTTCTGCCCAGTTTCATTGGGCAAGTCGTTTTTCCATAAGCCTACTGATTAACTAATCAAAACGAAAATATAACATCCTTTGTGAAGGTAATAAAGATGTCCTCTGTAAGTATCGATACTTGTTGTCCCCTAAGGGGCTTTTTGGTTTCATTATAGCCACATTTAAGTGTTTTTCCTCACCTGTCCCACGTATCCATCACTGTTGCACACCCACACTTCGCAGCCACTGTCAGGACAGCTGTGGCTGGGAGAGGCACATGAGAACTGGAGACAAACAACAATACATGAGTGGATATAACTTTGGAACATCTGTAGAGAGCTTGTCTACAGGTATGAACTGAATGAAATAAATTGTCTGACATAAATCTTCTCCATATACACAGCAGATAATCCGTGTTGTTCTCACCTGCATCCCACTTCGTGTCTTCATAATAGGAATGGCCTTCAGAAACTCTGGGTTCCACTGGTCCTTATTCATTGCTAAATGGATGACAGAATAACAAATAGAGCAATTCAATAAGGTATGGGCCTAGTAAATCCTAGTCAGACTCATTATAGATTAACATCATAATTATATTATTTTCAGGAAGTCTGAGGAAGATTGAGAAAACTAATTTAAGGTGCTTATGCAGCTGGGCACAGATGAGGAATTATTTCTCTCTTTTCTTTTACTTTAACTAACAAGCTACAGTCCAGTTAATAATGTTTTATCTTTTTTTACTGACCTAGCTTCTTCTTGGCGTCTTCGAAGGCCTGTTCAAAGTGGGACCGAGTGTCAGGTGAGGTGAACTCGAACACGAAGGTGCTCTCAGCGGAGGCCGTGGTGAACTCCAGCTTTGTGGGCAGGAAGGTCATGCTGAAGGCCAGAGACTGCTTCTCTGACAGCTCCCTGTGCACCGAGCCCATCAGGTCCTTTATCACATCGTCCAGGGACTGACAAGAGCAAGAAACAAGAAGAAAACTAAATATTTGATACATCCCTGGTGACCATCACCATTGGCTGTCACTACAACTTAGAACATGAGACAATAAGAAATGACAAAGGCCATAATACCTAAAGGCTAGGGAAGGCTAAGCCTTCCCAAATATTTGTGTCACTGCATCCTGGTAAAAGAAAAATATAATGAATAATGTTTGTGTCTTTGACATTAGCGCTGCTATGCAGCCACCTGTGCCCTGTACTACGAAGCCAGATCCTGGATAAGTTTGAGTCCTACGCGTTTCATGCTGTTTCGGTGCTTTTTAACTAACCCTGTGCCCTGCACTACGAAGCCAGTTCAACAGACCCTGGATACGTTTGAGTTAGTAACTAACCCTAACAAACGCGCTCTCGCTAAGCGGTCCTATGACGCTGGTTATCAACTCGGTAAATCAAGCCAGGGTTTCTCTCTCCAGCTGAGAGCGCGTTCACGTGAAAGGGGCGGGGTTAGCAACATTTGACCAATCACAAACAGGAACAAGTGTAGCCTACTGACAGCGCAGCGTCATACAGTACTTCATTAATGAAAAGTAAACTAATATTAGACAAATATGAACTTTAAACACCCATGACTTAAACATATAATCCAGGATACAAGCCACATAGTTGCACCTGCAAGGTGAATACAGCTGGTAACAGAAAAAGTGTTTGAATGCGTACATTATGATATCACTGCCCCGTCTAAGACACGAGTGGATCTGACTTTAATTACATTTGACTCGAGTGTTTCGTCAAACTTAATGTGTTGCTTAAAATAATACTTCTGCATACAGTATGTGACAATGTAAGTGTTGTCCAGATACGGCTCGAGAAGCTGACTCAGATAAGGAAATATATGATATAGTATGATATTAGCCATATATGATCGATGATCTGATTGATAATGTGATATGAATGATAAGTGCGACACGTCGGCATCTTCTCTTCATACGGCAGTTTAAACTCCTTTATACTTAATAGATATAAACTCCGCACACTGAGCCGTTGTCTCTGATCAGGCGGTGCTTTCACTGAGTTGATCTCTTTTCTATAGACGCCGGAGGCAGGCAGCGTCAGGTAAAACAAGTTATTTAGCCTTCCCAAACCTGAGCCTCCCGCGCCGCCTATGGTTGGTGCACAGTACCTGGTGTGGGAAGCCGAGGGTCTCTGAGAGTTTGCTGATCTGACCCAGAGTGCTGACGTCCTCGTCTAGTCGACTAATCATCTTCTGGATACTCTCCTTGTTTGTTGCCTGAGTCGAGCCTGATGAGTTCAATTAAAAGTGTTAAAGGACTGAACAGCATTACAAAAAAGTTTAAACATCTAAAGTAAAGTAAATGTTTTTAATTTGAATACTGATGAATCTGTAAACTGAGACTTCATTTTTGTGTATTATTTTTTTGCTATAAACAAGAAACAGTGTTATTATAATTTAAACGCAGTCATGAGACCTATTCAACTTGGAAACAAAATAATAAAATAAAATAAAAGCATTGCAGTTGCCTGTGTGTTTCATGTCCTCAGCAGCATGAGATCTTAAGATGAATCATTGTACACTTACTTTTCACCACCTCCACGTCCTCCAGAGGAAGCTTCCACAGGAACTTGTATTTACTGGAAGTATCTATGACACTCGCAGCAGAGTATCTGAGAGTGAGAGGGCAGCAGAGAAAGACACAAAAAGAGGTCAATAGTAGCTAAATGTTGTCAAACATTGTAAAACATTTGTACCTTTTGTATAAGAACAAGGGGCAGTGTTATTAGGTAACTGTCTTATTATAGTGTGTGTGTGTGTGTGTGTGTGTGTGTGTGTGTGTGTGTGTGTGTGTGTGTGTGTGTGTGTGTGTGTGTGTGTGTGTGTGTGTGTGTGTTTGTGTATTGCCTACAGGCTCATTGAGCTGCGTCTTAATGAGCCAGACTTCCTCTTGAGAGTGGTGCAGATGATCAGATCACTGAAGAGGAAGAGAGATCGGTCTTTCTTCCCACCAACGGTCTTCTAAACCGAGAGATTAAAGAGAGATTAAAGAGAGGGGAAAAGTTCAGAAAATCTTCACTCTGGCTTTTGCACATCCATGTAACAATGTATCAATATAAGATAATAGAGTTTGCCTTCATTATTTCTATTAGCTTGACTTCTTTTCCAAGACATTGGACACATTTTGAAACCTTTCTTTGCTACAAACATTTGTAAATTCAGAAGGAACTTCTTACCGCCTCCATGACCATTTCCTGTCTCAAGAACTTCCGCTCAGGGTTCAGAATCTAACACAAACACACAAAGATAAGATCAACACTTTAAAACATAGCAATTACTTCAAACTTTGGCCATTTGTCTCTTGTATGGAATCAAATATCTGTACAAAAGCTCTGTGAACTTAACACAGAGAAAAAAACAATGCAATAGCATGATTGTGTTGGTCCTTTTTACTAACTACTTACACTTTATGATGAATAAATAAATAAATAAATCTACAATGGATGATCAAAATAGTCATATTTAACATTAAAGAAGGAAAACCTAAGCTCTACAAAGTTTTATCAGTACATTAATAAATATCTCACATGTTCCACTCCCTCTATGTGCGCCTCGATCTCCTGGATGACCCTGGCCTCCCTCTCTGCCTCCTCAGCGGAGCGACGGCCCTTATTGATCCTCTCAGCCAATCGCTTGATGTCCCTCTGGGCGTCGAGTAAGTACGAATAGTCCGGGTGATCCTCTGGGGTGTGCTTCAGCATGTCCTTGAACAAAACAAAACACACAAAAATGTTACGATCTGTCTTTACATGAGATTCTGGTAACTAAACCCAGAATGAGGCAACTTGCAGTATACAGCACAGATACTTTGAGAGGACTCACCTTCACCAGCAGCTCGTATCGGGGAATCCTCTGGACTGGTTTGATCATCAGATCACCCAGAGCCTGTTTTTCCTTGTTCTCACGCATGTTTTGCTGTTGGGGTGAAGAAAGGAGGAGGTTAAAGTGGACCTATCATGCTATATTTGAATATTATATTGTAGGACCATACCTATATAAGGTATATTTATACGTTTTATTTTTCAAAATACCAAACAGATCATGCATTTCATCCATTCCTCATTTCGCTCAATTTAACACTGCCTTTCATGCTCGGATTCAGTGAGCACAGCATCATCTGGTGGCCTGAAATATGTACTACAGCGTCTCCAGCGCTTTCGAACGGCAATGTCCGTGGCTGTCTCCTCCTGATTGGTGGAGTTGGCCCAATAGCCGTAGCGCCACCGTCCTGACGTCAGAAAAGTAGTTCAAATCTGGATCAGTATGTATCAGATCCGTTGCAGCCCCTTTTTAAGAGATTTGGGTGTGGAGGAAAAGAGAGAGGGTTGTGTTTTCTGACTCTTGGTGAGTTCCCTGACACACCGGGGACACATATTCATGTATAAAAGACGTACAAAGGTGCATTTCGCATGATAGGTCCCCTTTAAAATGATTGCTGTCAACTAACCTAATACTATTATATGGAATTTGTCGACATAATATATTTAATTAAAGTCAACGTTTTTTCAGTGTGTGCTGCACCACCTCTTTTTGTGAACTTTTAGATTTTACGTTTTGCAGACCATTTACATCCACAGAAACCAAAACATGCTACAGGAAAGGGAAACCCCCAAAAGCGTAATAGGGCCCCTTCATAACAAATCATCCGGTTTTCTCATATGATTGTTGTGTAAAATTCTGAATTAAAGCTGTCAAGATAAATAATATTCAGGAGAAAAAACTAAATAATTTCCCAATTTGGGATGAATACAGTATCTATCTATGGTTTGAACAGTTTTGTCTGTATATCATCAAAATAAAATTGGTGTCAACCATGGATGTATAAAGGGAACTGGATACAGCGTTGGAGGCAGGACCACGTTCAGATGAAAGTTGCTCAGTGGCGCATGATGCCTGATTCTGGAGAGCAACAATAGCCGTATCTTGGTCCAATGGAGCCTGCGAACTTAACTTATCTTAACTTTAACTTATCTCCTGCTCTCAGCTCATTCAAATTAAGTATAAACTTAAAATGACTGAATTTGGCTTTTAGCACATTTCACAACTTTCAGACACTAATAATTTAAATAAAGCTATAAAAGTGTTCGTCCTTGGTATTGATTCAGTTAAAAATGGAAACGGTATTTTTGAGCCCATGATGTCACAGCAGATACTGTGGGGGAAACTTCTGAAACAATTGGAGTCAGGACTCAAAGAGACACGAGGAGAGCTGGAGCTTTGATGGCAAACACTGACGGTTTATTTGGAGCTTCGGCCGGAGAATTCACACGACATGTCACGGGCCCGGTTTGACCACACCGTTGAGATGCCACAATCAATTCTGAAGAACTCTTCTGTAGCTCGAGGTTTTAACTAGTTCAGAGTCTAATAATCAACATTCTTCATCAGCGAGACTAAAAAAATATGGACCCTGAATCTAACTAGAGCTGTCGTCCAGAGAAGAATGTGCGCTAGGGATACGTTCCAGAGAAAATAAGTGCTTCTAGGTGTCCCTGAACAATAAACTACGTCATGGCGGCTTGTGCTCGGTCATAAGCTGGCAACAACAATGCACCCAGCTGCCCCTCCTTTCAGAGAGATAGCAGCAATACCCAAGGCCGTAGACCTATGCCATGGTGTTTGTTTTTTACTCTAAACGGGTATATAACGACCAAAATGACATCATGCTGTATTGAAGAAGACTTGAATCAAGAGGTTGAGACCTTAAACTCAACCAGAAAAAAGTTTTTCTGAAGTACTAAATCAGGTAAGAAGTAGGCACCTTTTCTTATAGACCTCTACACAATCTTTTAAAAAAACGTTTCCCCCTGTTGGATATAAGAGAGCATGGAGGTTTAAGATTTGAAAACACATTCCCACCTTCCTGTGGAGATACGTGTGTGTGTGTGTGTGTGTGTGTGTGTGTGTGTGTGTGTGTGTGTGTGTGTGTGTGTGTGCGTGCGTGCGTGCGTGCGTGCGTGCGTGCGTGCGTGCGTGCGTGCGTGCGTGTGTGTGTGTGCAAATAAATAAAAAGTATTCACAAAAATATGACTGGTGTGTCGTGTGTGTGTGTGTGTGTGTGTGTGTGTGTGTGTGTGTGTGTGTGTGTGTGTGTGTGTGTGTGTGTGTGTGTGTGTGTGTGTGCGCTGTGCAAATAATAAAAAATANTTGCTTTAAAAATAGCACAATTCATTATGTCAAACCTTGGAAAGTATCTAGATATCCCTGCCCTAATGCCAAAGTAAATATCAACTGAATATGTGTCGCGGCGACACATATTCAGTTGATATTTACTTTGGCATTAGGGCAGGGATATCTAGATACTTTCCAAGGTTTGACATAATGAATTGTGCTATTTTTAAAGCAAGCAACGATGTTTTCAAATCTGTAATCAAAAAGCTCCTCAAAAACACTGGAAGCAGTTCCTGCCGTTGCTACGCTAGTTCAAACAGTAACAACGGACTATTTTTCTTTAGCGGATGCATGTCAATTTAAATAAATACATACAACTATTTTTTAAATCAATAAAATAATTTTCTAAATCCATAAAAGCATTTCAATTAATATTGGGAGTCATGTCGTTACTTTGTTGAGAATGTGGCCATGTAATAAGCGGGATAATTTGCGCATTGCACATTGCATAATGTGCCTTCATGCCGGTCTAGATCCCTCCTCAAAAAAAAAGAAGAACCGGCTCGTTCGCGGGCGCGATCCGGCTCCCGTCGTTCAATTAAAACAGCCGGCTCTTTCAGCCGGCTCGTTCGCGACCGACACATCACTAGCCCTGGCCTGATAGAACCACGATTTTATGGGACCGGAAAAAGTACCCGCTAGCCAGTGCTACGCTATATGGAAAGGCCACCAAAAACTAGCCTGGCCGCTTGAGGACGATTAAGGACGCTTAAACGGGGCTACCCGCTGCAGTGGAAATGCGCCATAACAGTCAGATCTGTCATCTAAGCCAAAGTGTTTGAATGCTTCACTAGGACAGTATAGTCTACCTTTACCTTTGTGTCACTATTTTTAAATAATCTTTCTCTATAGGCTGTTTTCAAGACAAGCTGTTGACTCAGCAGATGTCTCATTGCTGTTTAATGATCAGAATGTGTTTACAGAGTTGTTGCTTTAAATATATTCCAATCTGTAAGCATGACTTGTCACTCTAGACTTGACACGAAAAAAATGGTGGCATTAAAATAGTATCATTGCAGAGTCTCATGTCTAACCAGACTAATGTGTAGGCCTACTTGAGAAACACGGCTCATTGTTATGAAGCCAATAACGTGGCAGCTACCCTTGATCTCTCCTACCACTCAGTCACCTCACGTTGAAAAAAGAGGAGCTCCACTCATTCATGTGTTTCCCCTTTTGTGGTTCTTCTTTCCTTCACAGCTTCACATAGTAAGATCTCTGTTTAGCTGCTGCATGACATCAACGAGCCAAAAACCACTACAGAATAGAACAACGTCCGTGTTTTTGTCATGCCTTTCCCATTACTTCTTTATTATTACTATTTTTAGGTTGCCTGAACAAAACAGAAAATGTGACTAGTCATGTTGTCGCGACTTGTTATTGGAATGTGTCAAACAACAGCACCCGGGGTTTTGGGTAATTACTGTTTTACAGTTTATGAAAAGTCGTCACAATCTTCTCCTTTTCCTTTGAGGTGTTATGATTTTTTATCCTGTTTTGTTGTTTTCTCATAAAATGACGAAAGACTAGTGCGTGCTGGTGTCGTATGGCTTCTTTGTTTTGTGTGCTGGGATTTTCGGAGAGATCTTAATTTCCTGTTATATCCTGCACTTCCCACGCTTTTGTCTTCTCTCACTTTTTCTATTCTTTTGTCCGTCTCTCTTTCTGTCTTTCTCTCTTTATGAATGCACATATCTGACTGCAGCTTCCAAGCCAAAGCACATTGCTGAAAGAGGTGTGAAGCAAGCTGGATTAGGAAAAAGGAAACATGTAAACCATAAAATGCAATTACAGGATTTGACAACTCAAGAACCAAGAGTTGTGGAAAGAGCATGTGGAAAAAGTATGAGAGTTCAAGGATTTGAGACACAAAAGGTAGCAGACAAAGCACTTACCTCTCTTAACAGGGATAAAGGAAGTCTCAGACCAACATGTACTCTTCATTGTTCAGTGAATCTGTGTTGAAAGATGTTGGGTCCAATGTGGACTACAGTATATGGTTCAGAATGCCTATTCTCTTATAAAACATCTCCAAGCCAAACAAGATAGCATTACTCAATATCACTAGCACTAGAGTAGTATATAAAGATTAGTGCTTAATCCTAACAAATACAAAAGACAACCAGTTATGTGTTGTATCCATGAGGTCAGGCCAAAGCCTTTCAGATATGTTTTGTAAAGGGATGACAAAGTCATGAGATTAGGGTGTTTAGGTGAATGGAGGGATTATTGGTTGATTAATTAGGGGATCATTGATCTCTTAAAGCAATAGTTAGATATTTCAGAATTACACATATTCCCTTCCTTGCTTAGACTGAATTGAAAAGATCCATGCCACTGTTATCTGTCCATTAAACATGGCTTTACAGCATGTTAGCCTAGCTTATCAAGTCTCAAAACACGGGGAAGCAGCTAGCTTTTCCAATGGCAATACATCCTGCCTACCAGAACCAGTCAAGAAACGTTTTTCCCGATTTGTGGTGTGATATGTTTGGTACTTTTTTCATGGCTTTAAAAGGGTGTTTTTAAGGTTCAAGGTTTTTATTTGTCATACGAACATAGCTACAGTGTAGCTAATCTTAGGTCACAGGCTCCTTCAACAGTGCAACACAATAAAACAGGTATACAGAAACATATAGTGCAAGTAAATTGTAAATACAAAAAGAAAAATAGTTAAAAATAGTGCAATAAGAGTCTATATGCAAGTTATTGGAATATGATATAGATAAATAGATAAATCATTTCTAAATAGCAGCCAGATGAATGTTATGGATGTTGTTTCAACAGTTCAGGTGTTTAACAGTCTTATTGCCTGCGGGATGAAGCTGTCTCTGAATCTGGTTGTTTTTGTCCGGATGCTGACAGAACAGTTTGTGGCTGGGGTGATGGGGGTCTTTTATAACGCGGAGGGATTTCTTCCTGAGCCGCTGGGAGTAAAGGTCCTCCATGGATGATAGCTCCGTCCTGGTGATGTTCTGTGCAGTTTTCACCACCCTCTGTAAAGCCTTACGATTGAGGGCGGTGCAGCTGCCGTAC